TTCCATTGAGACGAAAGTCTTCATCTTAAGGCATTCTATATTCTTAGAGAAAAAGTTCATTTTAGGAGAAGACAGTGGAAGCAAAATAGAACTTGGAAGGAGTTCAAGAGTCTATAGATATAGTTGATCAAGTAGATGAATCTGAGTTTGATCCCACACCTGATGAGGGACATACTCTTGATCAGAAAGTAAAGACTCATAAGGACATGTCAGCTCTGTATAAATCTGGTAGGATCATTCAATCTTCAAGAAGGTGCGAATCCATAATTACTAATCAGGCATTGCTAATGAGGATGATGAACCTACTAATTGTACAAAACAAAGTCAAGTGTTGACTCAAAGAGATGGCAAGAGGCCATAGGTTGTAAATGAGTTTACACAAAGAGATCGACAAAACATCCATACATACAAAGTGAGACTAATAGTAAAAAGTTACAAACAAAGACAAGGAGTTGGATTTGAAAATACGTTCCAGCATATGGCTGTGCTAAAGTCTATTTGGATTTTGTTTGCAATAGCTACATACCATGATTATGAGTTATGGTAAAAGGATGTCAAAACTGCATTCCTTAATAGGAACTTACAAGATAAAGTGTACATGACGACTCAAAAGTTTTGAATCCAAATATACTTACAAGGTGTGCAAACTTAATCAATTTTTATATGGATTAAAGCAAATCTCTTGAAGTTGAAATCTTCGACTTGATGAAAAAATTCAAAAAAGTTTGATTTTATCAAAAACGAAGAAGATCCATGTGTTTACAATATAATAGTGGGAGTGTCGTCATATTTATAATATTATATGTAGATAGTATATTAATAGAAAATGAGATCCATATGTTTCAATCGTTGAAATCATATTTGTTAAATCATATATCCATGAAAGATGTGGGAGAAGCAACTTGATCTATAGAAATTGATATAGAAGATTACTTAACTCAAATCAATCTACATAGATAAAATCTTGATAAGACTTTGTATGGAGAAAATGAACTGAGAGTTCATAGATGCATTGATACTAATATCTAGTCTGATTAGAATGATAGTAAATCTCAAATAGAATATTGGTTTGCACTTAAACGATGTGTTTGAAAGGTCCCAAATATAAAACAACCATTGATTCAATAGCAAATACCTAATATATGATTGTTTTAGAAGCAGCAAAGAGTTGTGGCCTTGATTAAGATGTTTATTAATGAACTTAGAATAGTTCCTAACATTATTGATCACATGCTTTTATACTGTGATAACAATAAAGCTTTGCGTAAGCGAATGAACTGATGTCTCATCAATGATCCAAATATGTGTTAAGGTGGTATCATCTCATTAGAGAGATAAAATACGAAGAAATGACGTAAAGAAGGAATGAATTCCTACAGTCGATAATATTGTAGATCCACTGATATAAAGTTGTCACAGTATAAACATGATTGTCATGTAGACTTTTTTTTTTTTTTTTTTTTTTTTT